ACTCGATATACTTCGCTCGGATTATGCGACTGGATCGCTCGAGCGAATGGATCGCGAAGTATGAACGCTATCAAAAAGGCTGCTCTAGTCAGCTGTTCTGTTATACGACAAGAAGGACGATGATGTCATTGACGCCAGAATCACTGGGTGATCAAAGCAAGTGGGTTTACCGCGGTTCTCAGCACGATTTGTTCAGTAAAAAACCGGTCCTATCCCACGCTTGAACATTTTGCAGCAGTTTTTATGAAGATCCTTCTCCGAAAGAAGTAATCGGTTTAACGTTACATTCCAGGCTCACGCAAAAATCTGATCCTCGGGGCCCATTCTCACGGTTTCAGAGACCTTGGATGTTCTGCATCAAACCCCTACCTATATGGACTAGCGATGGAAAATCATACTTGAAACATTTTTTTCTCTTAATAGCAGAAATACACCAAGCTGAACAACATATTACTCACCAACGAACGAAATAACGATCATACAGCATCCTAGCACGATTATTATGTATGAGAATGCATATAATGTTGGAGCTTCCCAAAAAGCTTCACCCACAGCTTGACGATACCTGAACGTCAAAGTCAGTCCTCACCCAAACGATACATAATGGCGACCAACAAAAAGGGGTGCTGTTCCAACTCATCGAGGCATTTTGGTGCAATAGTTTGGTTCAAAGATAGAAAGTTCTGCTTCCATGATTCGACTTTCTACGCTAGGTGGCATTTCGTACTGGAAAGTACCAAGAGAAGATTTTAGCCAGAGGGATGATGACGTGCGTGGAGTTCGTGGTAAAGGATCTCCCGGGTGGGTGAACGAATTTTTCGATGTAATGGGAGCTTCTGCACTTTACTACTTGCAGCCAAGTGGGGATGAAAATTCCATGAACGCTCATAGTCAGAGCACATGGGATGTTGAGGAACTCCAGAGAGGGGGTTATTTTTGGTCGCTGGTTGCAGGTTTGATCGCTGAAGGGAGGGGGATTGTATTTGCTTTCAAGAATAATGTATTTGGTTTGTTGAAATGCCTTGGTTTTTCGTGTTCCGAGTGCGCTAAATATGTTCAGGGTGCAGCGTCGCGATGTGTGAAATGATGGTGCCAGGACGACTCCCCCTCTCGATGGAGGCCCCTGGTACGACCCCCCCCCCCCCTGATAGACATGGTCTCGACAGATTTTCCGTCGAGCGGGGGGGGAAGGTACACATGAAAGGCAAAAAATCACGCGAAAAGTCAACGACCGGGAAAATTCTTTTTCTTAACACAGCAAATTTCTCTCAAATCCACGTACGACCCCCTCTCCCAACAACTACCAAATACTCCAAATACGACCCCCCCTCCCCAGCCGAAAAGTACGACCCTCCCTATGTGTTCACACAATGACCTGTACCCTGAATATGCTCTGCCACTTCATTGCACCACTTTCGGTTCAGGGAGGGGACAGGGGGGGGGGGAGAGAACACGAGAATTTTTCGATGAAACTCTGTAAAAGTGGTAGGGAATTGAGAGTTAGGAAAAGCATAAGTACGACGTGGGGGGCAGTATGAAGGGGTCGTACATGGGTAGAAAATTCTCGAGGGGAGGGCCGTTTTGCAAGTTTATACAACGGCAGGACGTCGCCACGTCCCTTTTGTCGTGATTTTAACTACCTTGAGTGCTCTGCACCAAAATATCCCAAGTGGAATGAGGTACCTCCCAAAAATATCCACAGAAAGTACTTACCTTTCACTGATGAAGTCTCTGAATCTACTATCTGTTCGTAACCAAACCCCCATAGTCAACAACAGGCCACCCACCACCTACAAAAAATTTTTCAGCAAAAAAAAACAAGGGATACCGCCAAATGTAGGAAAACTGCTTACCAGAAGGACTATGTTGGTCGCAAATATTCCGTATTTCAGCCATGATAAGCAGTTCACCTCGTCGCTTTGCGAAGTCGCACTGTAGTGAATGTTGAGCACCTTCTTTTCACAGAGACTGAGAACATTTCAAACTTACCTCCGAGAAGATGGCGAGTAATAAGTGTCGTCTAGCGACCGACGTTCCTGCACATATACGTACTGCTTTTTGCCACGGGACTGACGATCATAGGAACCATCGTGAAGATCTCCCATAAACCACCAGACACGTGACGAAGCGCACCTGGTGGTCGTATTGCCAGGTGTGACTCACCCCTCTCTGCCATCCAACGCGCTCTCTCACCAAACAAGCAGGATTGCTGCATTTGTGCACCGGAGCGCTAGAGCACAGACACAAAGCGCTGCCCTATCCAGCTGACCGCAGCCGGAACGCTGGTGCGGAAGATTAACAAAATGTAAGTTCGCCGAAAGCGAGCGGTCGCGCCGTGCTCTCACACTTGAGCGCGTTATCTCGCAGAGGCCCCCTCGAAAGGAAGTGTACCGGTCAGGGGACATCGTTGTTGGGGATTCTCCAACAGGGGGTTGTATTCGGTCGCTGGAAGAGCGGGTCACATTCGGAATCAGAAATATTTTTTGGTTGTTGATTTTTTTTTGCTTCACGGCCTGACTTTTCGCGATTTTTCCTGTTTTATGCGCACTACACTCACCCCCCCCCCTCTCACTCTCCCCGCTAGACAGGAAGATTTTCGGGAAATTCCGGAAAAAGTGGCAGGAGGTTGGGGAGAATCTAAGAAATGACAAAAGGAGGGTCGTATTGTCCTCGCGGCTTTTCCCGTTTCACATGTGCTGTCCTATTCCCCTCGCCCACCCGCTCGACGGCTTGATGAGGAGGGAACCAGGGGGTCGCATCAACCCCCTAAAAAAGGAGGGAGGTCGTATGGACTCGACCAAAATCCCCGTGCCCTGGGACCGGTGCTAGTCACTTCAAAGTTCGTAGATGGGTGTCATCAGTAAAGGGTTTAGAGAACAAAAAAGCTGACAGGGTTGCCTGCAAAGAGCATTTCAACTGACTTCCAGCCCTTTGACTTTTTTGTTTTGAAATGGTTGATCTGCTTCTGAACATGAAGGTCACGCTGCTCACGCTCAACATGGCTGCAAAGTGTTTCTCAAGAGAACTTCAGCTTTTGTTTTCTGATCCATAGATTTAGTTGTGAGTATGAACTTACACTCCTTATCCCTGAGCCAGAGTAGGCGTGGCATTTGAACATGGCACGGAACTGGTTACTCGTGGAATATTCCAGTCTGGGACAACTGTCATCTTGTTCTGTGTTGGACAGAGACACGACAACAATTGTGTCAAGATG